AGGTCTCAAACTCCATGCCTGGGAATGGCTTTTCCTACTGCCTGAGACTAGTCCCTGTCTTTTCTTCCAGAAGCCAGCAGCAGCAACAGCTCAGCCTTGGCCTTCCACCACCCAGACGCCGGGACCCTGGAGGAGTGCCCCAGTAAGTAAGCTTCTCCTGCCCATACCCCAGCCCCAGAGCTGCCCTGCATCTGGGAGGGACACAGGCCTCCTTGCTTTCCATCGACTGGTGTCAGGTGGCCGAGCGCCTGCTTGGCCTTCCTGTGCACTGGTGTGGTTTGTCCCAGAACTACTTGCAGAGCAGGTCTAAAAAATCTCTCTTGGCTTTGATCCCCATCTAGGCTCACAATGTTGACACAGGTGGCTTTAATGACCCGTCCCCAGGTCAGTAGCCAATGTGCCCTGGGTTCAAATGCTTGTAGAAGGGGAAAGGCCATAAAAATCAGCTAGTCCAACTTGTGCAGGAGCTTGGTTTGGGGACCCTTTTTATATACCTCTTAATCCTCTTCTTGAATGTTTCCAGTGGCGAGGAGCTCAGACGTTTACAGAGCAGCCGCTGTCATGCACGTCCCATTAACAGACAGCCTCGCTTTACCTTGTTGCTCCCTTTATCCCGCCCTCATTGAGTGACCCAATGTGTTAGCTTCTGGCCACTTACGAAGAAGGGGAACAGGCAACGATACGCAGGGGATTAAGAATATGGTTTCGGATCCTTGCAGACTTCAGTTTGATTTCTGCTTCTGCCATCTTGTGACGCTGGGCAAGTTACAGCCTCAGTTTCAATAAAAACTGTGGCTGTCACTTAGGGAACAATGAGTAAGCTAACGTGTGACAGCACGAGCACGGGGCAGGGGCGGGGTAAGTGCTCTTCAGTCTTAGCCACCACGTCACTGTTCTTGTTCCTACTCACGGTGCAACACATCCTGTCTCTCCCTGCCCGTCAGACGTCGACTTCTGCCCACTGGCAGCCCGGTGCTGCCACGCCGGAGTGGACGAGCACGGCTGGATCGCGGCGGCTGTTGGTTGGAGTCTCTGGTTTCTCACCCTCATCCTGCTCTGTGTGGACAAACTGATGAAGCTGACTCCAGAGGAGCCCAAGGACCTGCCAGCGTGAGCCTGGGACTCGCGGCCCGGGAACGGCGATCGCGGGGACCAGTGCTGTCGCAGCCTCTTCCATCTCAAAGTCATTTTCGCCTTTGAGCTGCAGTTACTTTGAAAAGGGAAGGGAGAAGGGAAGGGAGGTCCAAATTAGGCAAGGCCAGGGCCAGCTTCACAGCTGACTCCCGAGGCGCTCGGGTCTTCTCTGATAAACCCCTTTCTCGGGCGAGGGCCCCGGGCAAGTGCTCCCAGTCTCGCCCGAGCTTTCCGCCAGGCGCCAGGGGGAGCACGGGAAACACACGACTACGTCTTTCAGTCGACACATTCAAACCCAAGCTCAAAACCTTCTCACCAAAAACAGGTCGTTGGCTTCCGCCCCTTACCTGAGTCAAGGGCATAACTGTCACTTTAAAATGTGGTATCACCCTTGACACGCACCCTCTGTCGCCCCACATCCGGCCTCCTCCAGCTCGCTCCTGTCCTGCCCCTTCCCCACCAGCACCCGGGTCTGTCCCTCCCTCCCTTTCCCTACCACCGTTCTGTCCCCACCACCTTTGGATCTTCCTCCCCAGCTCACCACTCCCCAAGGGCAGCCGCAGAGTAGGCGCTGTCACCCCCTGCTGACACTGCCAGCTGCTCCTGGCGATTCCAGCTTCTCAGCCCGTCTCTCCCGGCACCTCCCAGAGTGAGGGCTCTGACTGCCCGCTCCTCCTCCTGGTGTCTTCAGCTTCTCCGCTGCCACTTCCTCTGCCGGGACAGCCGCCCTCCCACTCCGCCCTGAGAACACAGGCCCTTCCTGCAGGGTCTGCCCGGAGCCTTGCCTGCACCCCCTTGCGCGACCGGAGCTGGTGCTCTGAGGGCCCCTCTGCTCTGCCCTCAGGTGCGGCCGCTGTGAATGGGCCTCCTCACAGTGCCAGCGTCCTTCCACACACCCCTGGGGCAAAGCTATTCACGTTTATCTAGCGAGTGAACGGGTGAAAGAACGAATGAACGAACGGGTCCCTGCCCTGGACGAGTGATGAGCGTCACTTGCATTAGGAACCTCCATGTTTCTCTAGATGGTTCAAATAAGCCACCTCTGAAGAAGCCAATGGCTTGGTCACCGCTCTCTCAGCAAATTACAACCATCGCCACTCAGCGGGGAGTGTGGGTGTCGCACAGCGAACTCGTCCAGTGGAGGGAGGCGGGTGGGTTTACCAGAAGGAACGAATGACAAAATGACTCTTTACGAAATGATTTCTGCCCTCTGTGAGGAAACATATTTAGATTGATTAAACGCTAAATAGTCAAAATACAAAAAAGAAAAATGAGAGATCGCCGAAATAGGAAGAAACCTTTGGTCAAGGAGGCAGACGACTCAAGGCTGCTCAGCTGCTCTTGCAGAAAATCCGAGTAAACGTCCCGTCAAGGGGAACTGAAGGGACCGCCTGATTCCTCTCGTAGTCTTCCAAACAGCCAGGTAACTTCTGCATCTCAGATGTTTAATCAGTACACTGGGGTGGATTTATTGTTCCTAAGAGTTAAGTGATCACTTGTACAGACGTGTCAGCATCACGCCCGGCGTGTTCTGTGGACACGCACATCAGTATGTGTTTCACTTTTTTGTAAATCCAAGGTAAGAGTTTCCACAATATGTGATGAAAAGAGTCGTTAAGGAGCACACTTTGATTTAATGTCTGCAGACATTTTTCAAATAAAGCGGTGTGTGCCACTGGGCTATGAGTACTAGCTTTAAGAAAAGGGGAGTTGAGATTTATTTCTGGCCAATGTGAACAGAAATCAGTCACTTTATCTCACTGGGCACCGATTTGCTGAGCAGAAAATGTAAGCATGGGACCACATCAGTGGTTTGGAGCTCGGCTGTACGAGCGTATGGAGCTATCTGAGCAGCTCGGCTCCCGTCCCACACACCAGACCTCGTGGTAAGGTGACACGTGCTGCTCTAGTAAGCAAAGGGTCAGCGGCAGCGGCTGATGTCCGAGCGACCCTCCAGTCTGGAGAGACCCGGAGAGTCTCAGACTACCGGGAAGCGAGTGTGTGCGGTCTCCGCCATCTCGCATTGGCATGCAGGCACTTTGTAAATTGCTTTTCTTTCATCGGCACGAGAGGGAAGACAGACCAAATCTAAACAACCACTCTTTTCTTTATGCTCCAAGAAAGAAAGACAGTTCTAGAATTTGACAGCTCTACTTCCCAGATGCTACACCTCGGATGTAGTCTCATCATGGAATCTCTTGATTACGGCAGAGCAAAGATCTGTCAATAAATTAAAGAAAATCCAGGGAGGAAAAATAAGCATCAACTTCCAGGGGTCTAATAGCGTCCCACTTTAAAGCAACAGGACTTGCCTGACGGTAGATGGACTTTTCATTTTGAAACTTTGCCTTCAGTAGTCAACGCTGTCCTCGGCTTCGCTGCAGACTATGTGACACAGGGTCCACGTAATCCGGGGCGTTTGGGTATCAAAACGTCATATGTAGAAATAAAATGTTAAATGTTAAGGTGTGGAACAATTATCTGAGTTTTAAAATTATCATTTTATTTATTTATTTATTTTTGAGCCAGAGTCTCGCTCTGCCCCGCTCTGCGCGCACCTCCACGCGGCGCTGTGACGAAGACGCTCCCCCTGGCCAAACCCTGGCCGGGCTTCTCTGAGCCCTTTTCTCCACCGGACCTTAACCTTGGCCCATGAAAACTACTTACTCTCAACACAAATGATTCCAGCCACCTCCTCTCCCCACATAAAAGACTTGAACAAACACGACGGTTTCTAACAGCTCCAGGCAGCCTTCCTAGGATGAGCAGGATGCAGAGCTCCTGCCCTGGGAGACGCAGCTGAAGGTGAAGGGTGCCGGGCCCAGGGCCCTGCACATCCTGTGCGCTGCGCAAAGTCCATTCCCATCCGGGTGTAGCTACACTACGTGAGAGCTGGAGGAGGCAGGGGTGGGGAACTCGGGGCTCTCATTCAACTCCTAGGGCAGCCGGAAGCCCCCTCTGATATATCCACACTGGACACACACGTGCACACCAACACACACGCACACACACACCATACCGCTTTGTCCTGGCCATGCTCTGGGGGTCCCCGAGCTCAATTCTCTCCCCTGCCCACAACCTATGGCTGATTCCACCTGTGCCTGGTTCAGGGTGATGGTGGGAGAGCAATGTGGAGGGTTGGAGGAGCCAGCGTGGGGCGTGCTAGGATCCAGGGAATAGATGAGTGTAAAACATAAGCACACGTGGCAGCCACGTCTGCTGCCCTGGGATCTGGAAAGCCCGTCCATGGCAGCCCATGCTGTTCATAGCACACTTACCCAGACAGTTTCCTTGAGGAATGGGCACCTTTTTAAATTTGCATAGTGGTGTCCAAAGGGCTGCTAAAACCTAAGGAAAAAAGAAACTACACATAAGACCTGATGCTTGGCTTCATTTATAGGCTTGTCTGATACAAAGCACGCTTGCTATGTAGCACATTTGCAAATGCATTGTTCAGATTGTACTGGAAAGAAAAGATAAAGTTTTTAAAAAGCAAAAACCACAATTACAAACTACAACCAACAGTGGCCAGACTGATAAGGGGCCATTGAGGACAGAGCCACAGGGCAGACGGCAATACTGTCCCTTAGACCGCACATGTGGGGTTAAGTGATTTCAGTGTGTGCAGAAGCCCATTTCTCTTCCCCACTAACGCAGACAGGACCAAAAGCGCAATAACCATATTTCTTTTATGACATGTCCATTTCTATCAAGAAGGAACAAGGGTCAAATGGTTGTTTAAAAATAAATAAATCTCTCTCTTTTTTCATTGGTTGATCAAGTGGCTTCTTTCCCAAATTTGTATTGTTATAAACAATATATGAAATATAGAGAATAATTAAATGATCAAGCCATGGAAAGGCATGAAGGAAACTTAATTGCATATTACTAAGTGAAGGAAGCCAACTTAAAGGGCTACCTACTCTATGATTCCAACTCTGTGATATTCTAGAAAAGGCAAAACTATGGAGGCAAAAAAAAGTGATTGCCAGGGGTTGGGGCTGGGGGGCTGACTAGTCAGCGATCAGAGGGGTTTTAGGCAGTGGAAATACTCTGTATGATACTGTGATGGTGGATACATGTCATTATACATGTGTCGAAACCCACAGAATGGACGACACCAAGGGTGAGCCCTAATGTCAACTCTGGACTGGGGGTGACAATGATGTGTCGATGTAGGTTCATCAATTGCAGCAAATGCAGCACCGCTCTGGGGGGATGTTGGTAATGGGGGCAGCTGTGCACTGGAAGGAACAAGGGATATATGAGAACTCTCATTACTTTCTGCTCAATTTTGCTATGAACCTAAAGCTACTCTAAAAAATAAAGTCTATTTATTAAAAAAAAACTTAAAAACTTCTTGGGAGAGTTTTAATACTCACTCTAGAGAGGGGTAATATTTTATGCATCAAGTTAAATATCCTTGAATTTTAAAATCTTCGACATAGGACTCCCAATAGAAGGCTAACTTCTGTGTCTTATGTATGAGGAGCAAACTTTAACGCTGTTAGTTCATCAAGTCCATTCTTAGGGTCACTGTATCAGTTATAAGTCGCTCATTTAAGAAAACTATTCTCATCTATTTTGGAAAAATAGATGACATACGGCCAATGTTAGATCCAGCCCTTCTTCATGTGAAGGTTTATTCATTTCTAACCCCAGTGTTCTGGATGTCTGTGCAGGCAGAGGGTGTAGTTCATCTTACCTCTCAGTTCATGGCACCATTGGTCTCTGCAAGGTCCCCTCATCTCACGCTTTACTCCCTTTCACCCCATTCCCCTCTCATTCTCCTGCTACTACTCCCCTAAGGCAACCGTATGAGTCCCTGCATGTGCTTTTATAAAATGGGAGGTATTATTATAAGTTCAGGTGTTTGGATTTACATCAGCTCTTATCCTGCCTCTTATTTTTTTTACTCAGTAATAATGTTTTCAGGATCTGTTTGGGCTGCCACGTACCTGTCATCTAGAGCTCCTACCTGCTGCACAG